CCTGAGACAGCTTTAAATTAACTAATTAGAGACTTTGTGAGCTGCTCTGCAGCAGAAAGGAAGACTGGAAAGAGATCTAACAGGGTGCATTTGATTCAAATCATGATTTAAAATCACTGGGCAGGGAAGCTTTGATTTATTTAATCATTGTTTTCTACAAAAAGTTCATTCTTGTTGGATATACTCTATTCATTTAACCTCTTGAAACTTTGCACTTTTAGAGAAAGGTAAGGGTGTGACTGTGTGTATACACACTTGCAGAGAGACATTAGGACTGTTGGGTGGGTAATCAGGTCTGTTCTCTCTCATTTCCATATACTGCCATTAACAAGGATGTTATCCCTGGAGACGACAAATTCTCCCTATGCCTGAAGAAGGGCATTTGTGCCCAAAAGCTTGGAAAGAACACTTTTTCCAACTACTTAGTTGGTCTAATAAGAGATCGCTTCTATCCAAAGAATCTTGTCTGTCTGTGATCTCTGGAGACACAAAGCCCCAGTTTGAGAACCGAAATTAAGTATCACAGAGATGCTTAATGAGATTTAGACTGTGCACCAAGTCCCATTGGGTAGAGTGGTTTTCTTTAATCTTTACTAATCTATAGAGGAGCCTCTGGGAACCCCATAAGATTGGGCCCCTAATACAGTCCATAGCCTATTGTAACCTATTTATAAGACTTCTAAAAAGGTTATGTGAATATATTGTCTCAAATAGTATATCATTAGAAGCTATAATTGCTATTCCATGATGATATCTTTGACCTTTAACATATCCTAAATTAAAACTATAAATGTTTACTTTTTTAAAAATCTTAAAAAAATAAGAAAAGTGATTAAATCAAAAAATCTTTAAAATAAAAAAAATCCAATTTTTTTTATTTAAAAAAAATGGTTGATTTTTATCCACTCTGACATCTAAAGGTACCTAAATGTAAAGTGGAGGAACTTGGAGCATTGAGTTTAAAAACTAGGATTAAAATGGGAATGGGGAAATAGGTAAAGTTAAGAGTTATAGTTGTCTTTAAGGATAAGGAAAGCCAGCCATTTTCTGCTTATGCTGAACATGAGGAAAGTGAGAGGTTGAGAGGAAGAATAAAAGAAGTGGTGAGGAATAGGTATCAGGAGATGAGTGCATGAGGTAATCATGACAGAAATAACAAATAAAGGAAAAGGAGCATAAGAAAGAAAGCTTGAAGGCCTTGATCTTGAGTTTAAAATATAGGATTGAGATTTGAGAGAGATGAATTTAGTCCTTGGGTCATTACATACCTTGAATAAGTCTCTCTCAGTTTTCCTGTGCATCAGTTTCCCAGATATCAAAAGGAGTTAATAGTTTCTAGCAGTGCACTAATACATTGGTCCATATTGTATCGGCATTGATAAAAGGAAAATTGACATTGTCGGCAATCAGCTTCTTTTGGCTGATGTGGCCAATAATGTTGCTAATAAATGCTGTGTGCTTGCGTGCAGCCGTAGCATGTATGCTGCCAGGAGTGTATCCCGACAGCTTGGAGAGCAGTGTCTGGCCAGTAAGTCTCTTGGGGGGCAAAGGGACTTGGGGGGTGGCAGAGACAGGGTGGGGCCCCCACAGTGAGGGAGGGAGTGGGGCTGAAGCTGGGGCCAAGAGCAGGAGTAGGCACTGCACAGTCAAGGTGGAACGAAGCCGCAGCTCTTCCAGGGGGCAGGGAGGGAGGGGTGTGACAGAGGGCCCACTCAGGGCTGCATCCCAACATTGGCTTTCCCCTCTTTCTAGGACAGTCTGCTGTATCTGCCTGCCATGACTTGTTGAATAAAGTTTCAGGTAAATATGCGGGAGGCTGCCTATTTAATGCCCTGATACCTGGGGCATTATATATGGCTCCAACCTTCCCTACACCATGTCCCATGCCTTTCAGATGGTACTGCAAGTTGGTAACAGCTCTGGCCTGAGGCCAGGCTAAACTCTGCCCCTTGCTGGGCCTCTGACATTCTACTCTCATACTCTACCACCACTCACAGGGCCTCATTCACACTGCCCCTCACTGGGTCACTCTCAACCTACCACAGATCCGTGCATTCCCTTCAGGTCCACCTTGGGGGTCACTCTCAACCTACCACAGATCCGTGCAGTCCCTTCAGGTCCACCTTGGGTCTTACTCTACATGGCCCTTCCAGCTTTCCTACTTGCACTCTAGCCGGCCGCCATGCAGCCCTCCAGACCCTGCGGCCACTGGCCTTATGCCTCACTCTGGGCTGAACTCAGCCGCTAGCCCCTCTCCAGGAAACTTGCTCATGATGTCACTCTTGTGGGGTTTGGCCCATGTACAGCCCTTCAGGTTTCCTGAGCAGCCTTACTCTACAAACCCCCTGGTGCAGCCCTTCAGGCCCACCTATGCAGACCCTACTCTACATCTCTCACGCACACCCCTTCGAACATCACCATGAACCCTACTCTGTGCAGGCCTCTACACATACTTCTGCCCCTTCACTGGGGCTTGGAGTCTTACACCCCATGGGCTCAGGTGTCATCAAATGTGCCTGATTCCACTGCCTGGCCCTGCTCTGAAATTACCCACTGGGAGTGGGAGCTGGGGTTATAAGGTGCCCCTACCCACTTTTCACTGGGGAGGCAACTGGTCTGGCATTTCTGGGGAACTACCCCAACACGTGTAGTCCCACCAAACCATCCTTCCCCAGCAGAGTATAGTTTCCCATCATGCCCCAGGAGCAGGAGCTTCCTGCCATCCCCAGAGTTCCTGTCCTTACCTCCAAGGTGTTCTGAGCAGCTCCAGCTGGGTGGTGTTCTTTCCCCAGCTGTTTACAACAACTGCGGGCTCAGCCCTGAGGGCCTGAGCTAAAATAGAGGATGCTCAGCTCTCTCCTCCAATCCCTTGGTCCTCCTGCAGTCATGTGACAGCTTCAGGGCTGGCCTGCACCTGCCGGCTGCTCTGCTGCCTGCTTTCAGCCTTTGAAGTGGCAAGTACCAAAGAAACTTTGCCACAGGGGGGCAGCTCCTGCTGCTGCAAGCACCCCTGGGGGAAGCATAGGCCCTCCAGATCTGTGCACAGGTCAAGGGCAAGCTGCCCACTGTTCACTCAGGGCCAGCCAGGGGCTGTGCCAGCCTCTTCCTGGCAGAGGGGGCTGGACTCAGGCTGTGATCGTGGTAGGTGGGGCGGGGCAGCTGGCCAGCAGTGAGGCAGGGCAGGTGGCAGCAGTGCTAGGGGGCTACTTTGAATTTTGGGGTGGCTGTAGCTCCCCTTGTAATCCCCCTTCCCAGTGCTGCTGCCACCCACCCTGCCTGGCCCAAGTGCAGCCCAGGCCCAGCCCCCCCCCACCAGGAAGAGACTGGCACAACCTCCAGCCCCAGGTGTGCAGTGGCAGCCCACCTGTGCACAGATCCAGGGGGCATATGCCCCTCCCATGCCTTCCCCGGGGTGTGCGCAGCAGTGAGAGCCACTCCCTCTCCCCGTGAGCCATGGCTCTGTTCTGTGACCCACCCTGCCCCAGCTGTGCAGTGCCTTCCCCAGCCCCACTCCCTCCCTCACCATGGGGGCTTTCATCTGCCCCCCACTCCTTTCCTCCAGCAGACTTACCAGCTAGATGCTGCTCTCCAAGCTGTCAGGGTGCACATTGGCAATCGGATCAGTATCAGCCCAAAAAATCTTTATCAGTGCACCCCTAATAGTTTCCTACCGTATAGTGGAGTTGTGAAGATAGGTAAACAAACTTGTGGGAAATATGTGGCTATTGAGGTGATTCAGCAAATGTATGACAGGGCTTTTAAGGATATAAAGTAGGAGAAGGTAGCTGCGGATGGTTGTTCTGGAATAGGACTTTTTTTTTTACTTTGAGTATATGCGAATACTTAAGGTATCCGAATCAGCTCTGCCTCCTTGCCATTGTTTGGGGTTCCAAGAAATTTGGGGAGTGCAATCTTTGGAGCCAACTATTAAAGAAAGGACAAGCAGCTGAATGAGTCATTCTTTTCCCCCAGCTTGAGAGAGGCAGTTGGAAAGAAACATTTTTTTACTGCTTTGGGGGTAGAACTTCAACAATGGTCTCAACTTCATTTCTCTTTTTTTCAGGGTTTGGGAGGTGTGTCCACAAGTAGACTTACTAAATTTTAAATCTTGAGGTCAGGAGTACTAGCAGTATTTTTCAAACTATTACTTATAAAATGTATATGTGATTATGCAACTTTATTTGAAATAGACACAATAATTAGAGATGTTGGTTCTTGGATTCAAGAGGAGGAATGACGCATTGATAAATTATTTTGTGGCCTGAAAAAGTTGTAACAGATATTGTTATCTGGAATAAAAGTAAGATTCTTTGGCTGCTTTGGTAGACTCAGACTTTTATGACTTCTTTATGCTGAAATCCATCTGCTTGTATTTTTCTACGTGCTTGAGCATCCGTCCTTCCTCCTCGCTTGTCTCTTACGTTACACTATATATTAATGTTTAACCATATGGTCCCATTCTATTTGAAGTACCAGATTTAGCTTTAGGAAAGTTTATAATATCACCAGTGTAGACTTGTAGCACAGAACAATAGAATGCTAGATTCATGTGCATTATTTTTTATGCTAGATTAATAATTACAAATATCTAATGTATATTAGAACTTAATTATTATCATATAATTATTCCAAAATGACAGGGTAATGGATATTTCAAAGAAGGGAAATATGAAGCAGCAATAGAATGCTATACACGGGGTATAACAGCAGATGGCACCAACGCAATTCTGCCAGCTAACAGAGCTATGGCCTATCTAAAAATTCAGAAGTAAGTGGTGTATAATGCTGCTTCTCTATTCTTTGTAAACTGGAAAAAAATATATATCAGGGTTTCATTGAAAGTTGTCCTGCTACTGCCATCATTCTCACTCAGTAGAAAATATAATTAAAATTACTCTCTTTTTTTTTATTCCTTTAATGCATGTGTGTAATCTCTTTATTTGATAATGAAAACATGTTGAAAGGGAGTACAAAGCAATTAGGTTAAAATTAGTGTGAAACTTGAATAGCTCTTTGAAAATTTGACTAAGTTTATATTATTTCTAAAATTCTATGCAGTTGTTCTCCCCTTTTCCTAGGATCTCAACCATTGCTGTTTTAGTAGAAGAAAGAAAAAATATATTGTATGCAGAATAAACGAGAACTATTTTTGATAAAGGAATTTTCTCTGACTTCAGACTTCTAAGTGGATTGTTATAAGTAGCTAATAAAAGCAAAACACTAAGTACAGTAAAAGCTGTGTTAACCACCATGAGTGGAGAACGCAGCGTGCCCGTTATATAAAAATCCTGGTTACTTGAGGCAGGGGTTTTTTTGGCCAGATTGGGGGG